CCAGCTTTCAGTGGTTTGGCCTCACCTCATTGCATGCCCCTACTTCCCCAACTCTCCCCCCAGCACAGGCTCAGCCCCATCTCCCCTCTCCCCCAGGATTTTCCCCACCACCACTTCAGCTCATCTCCTTCCTCCATGTTCCCCCACATCTTTGGTCTTGGCCCTGTCTCCCCCCAAACCTGGTCTCAGCCCCGTCTCACCCTGCTCTTCCCCCAGGCAGTATCGAGTACAGCTGCCCGGCCAGTAACGAGTGCGAGATCACCAAGCGGCGCCGCAAAGCCTGCCAGGCCTGTCGGTTCACCAAGTGCCTGCGCGTCGGCATGCTCAAGGAAGGTACGGGGGGTGGAGGGACATGGTGGGGGCTGGGGGGAGAGCACAGTGGTTCTGGGGGGTTGCAGGGAAGGAGCTGGGGCGTTGGCAGGGGGAATTGGGCGGGAACTTAGGGAGGGGAAAAGAGCTGGGAGGGATTAGAGAGCTGCTGGGGGGGGGCAGTGGTTGGTGAGCTGGGGGGCAGGTGTGGGAGGCAGGATATGGGAGGGTCAGGAAGCCAGGGTAATGTCAGGGGGAACCATCAGGAGAACCCTGGGGGGAAAACAGCCCCTCAGTTCCCCCCTGCTGTTATGAGAGCAAATTGGTCCCCTTGGAAATAGGGGAATGGGCAGGATGGGTGGGGAAAAGGGAGAGTTTTGGGGGTGCATTCTGACCCCACGTCTTCTGCTCTGCCCCCTAGGGGTGCGGCTGGACCGGGTGCGAGGGGGACGCCAGAAATACAAGCGCCGCCCTGAGGTGGATGGGGCCCCATTCCCCAACACCTTTGCCACCCCCCAGATTGCCACAGCGAACAGCAAGAAACCAGGTGAGTGGGGTGAGGCTGTGGGTCAGGATTAAGAGGCAGAGCCGGGGGCGGGGGTGGAGGGGGAAGCCCAAGGCTGAGGTAGTAGGGGCCTATGGGTCAGGACTGTGGGGTATGGGCAGATCTGGGAGGGGGAGGAGCCCAGGTGTGATAGGGTGCGAGAGGGGGATGGGGTGCTGGGGGATCTCCTCTCACATTGCCCCCTCTCTGCAGCTCCCATTAACCCCATGGTGTCCCACCTGCTGGTGGCGGAGCCTGAGAAGCTGTACGCAATGCCTGACCCAGCGCTGCCCGATGGGCCCCTCCGTGCCACTAGCGCCCTGTGTGACCTGGCTGACCGCGAGATCGTCGTCATCATTGGCTGGGCCAAGAACATCCCAGGTGGGGCCTCACCCCCCCTGCAGCATTCTTTATGACCCCCATCTCCCGCCCAGCCTGTCCCCTTGGCCCCATCCCCATGTGCTGCCCCTCCCACAGTGCTCCCCTCCTCACCCTTTCTCCCTCACCCCCCGCAGATTCCTGCTACAGGGTGCCCAGCCCTGCTCCCCCGTTCCCATCCCCAACCTTCAGCTCTGCTTCCTAATCCCTGTTCCCTTCCCAGCCCCCTAACTCCTGTCTCCCCCTTGCCCCCAGCCCTGCCCCCCTGCAGGGTTCCCAGCCCGCACTGCCCCCTAACTCCCGTCTCTCCCCCGCAGGGTTCCCGGCGCTGTCGCTGGCCGATCAGATGAGTGTGCTGCAGAGCGCCTGGCTGGAGGTGCTGGTGCTGGGTGTGGCCTGGCGTTCGCTCCCCTGCGAGGACGAGGTGGTCTTTGCCGAGGACTTTGCGCTGGACGAGGAGGGGGCGCGCGCGGCAGGGCTCTGGGAGCTGAGCGCCGCCCTCCTGCAGCTGGTGCGCAAGTACCGCGCCCTGCGGCTGGAGCGCGAGGAGTATGTGCTGCTCAAGGCCCTGGCACTTGCCAACTCAGGTGGGTCCTGCCCTATGGGGGGCTTGGGGTGGGGGCAGTTGTCTGCACCTGGCTTTCATCTCCCCTGGGCTGGGATCGGCCCTCCTCCCCCCACAGCTGCCTGCTTCCCCCCAGGCTCTGCCTGCCACAGCTCCCTCCTTGACTCCCACCCCAGACTTCATTCAAGGACGTGGTGGCCTTGGCCCCACCATAGTTTCCCTGCCCCTCTGACTTGGTGCTCAGCAGTGACATGGCAGAGCTCCTGCTCTAACCCTGTATGATTCCCCCCCAAGTGCACATCAGCAACATCGGCCATACCCCCCCCCACGGGTCTCCCCAGACTCGGTGCATAGTGTTCCCGCCCAGGCTGGGTGCATATCAGCAACATTGGCCACGCCACCCCTCTAACCCCCATGGTCTCCCCCGGCCCCCAGACTCGGTGCACATCGAGGACATGGCCGCGGTGCAGCGGCTACGGGACGTGCTGCACGAGGCTCTGCTGGAGTACGAGGGCAGCCGACGGCCAGAGGAGCCGCGCCGGGCGGGGAAGCTGCTGCTAACGCTGCCCCTGCTGCGCCAGACGGCCGCCCGCGCCCTGCACCACTTCTATGGCATTAAGCTGGGAGGGAAGGTGCCCATGCACAAGCTCTTTCTCGAGATGCTGGAAGCCATGATGGACTGAGGACCCTCCCCGCCTTCCCCTCCCCGCCATGTGGGGGGGCAGAGGCATGGACCGGGGTGAGGGGCTTGGGGACAGCCACACAGACCTGGGGCAGGGAGACAGCCACATAGATGCGGAAGATGGGCAGGGTGGGAGGGGGACAGACACACTGGAGACACGCAAACGAGAGGAGTAGGGATGGGTGGGGGTGGGGACAGACACACGGACATTGGGGTACCAGGTTGCTGGGGGGACAGACACAGATGCTCTGGCTGGGGGACAGGGGGGATGCATGGGGACAGTAAGGCAGATAGGGGAAGGGGAGGATTGGACTGATGTGGCTCAGGGGAGCTGCAGCATGGCCACAGGGCTGGGGAATGGGCATGCTGGAGACGGACCGGGGGACACTGGTGGGAGGGGACAGAGTGACACGGGGACCCAGCCCCCCATATGCACTGGAAGCCATATTCTAAGTTATTAGCTGGGGGGAGGGATTTAGTAGCAGGGGGAGAAGAACCAGGGCCTCCAGTGGAAGCCATAATGGACCTGAACAGCACAAAGCTGGACTGCAGGGGAGAGTGTGTTAACCCTACATGCACAGACCTGGCCTGGGGGGGTCCCTGCTTGTCCCTGGCTCAGAGCAGGGGAAACCCCCAGCGGAGGGGTGCTTGCCCAGCAGCCAGTGTGTGCTGGGGCTGGAGGTAGCTTGGCACTGGAGGGGTCAGTTAGGTGGGGAGGGCAGTAGCAGGGGCAGCTGATTCTCACTGAAGGGGGGTGTCCCCCTCCTCACTGAGTCCATGGTGGGTGTCCATGGTGGGTGTCCCCCTCCTCACTGAGTCTCAGAACTCTCTGCTTAGAGGAGAAAGTATGTGTGGAGGAGAATAACCCCCCATCCCAAAGTGGGACGCCCTGAGGCCTCCCGGCCCCTGCCCCCGAGTGGGGTGAAGGGTTTACAATGTCCCTTCAAGCAATAAATGAACAAACTATGTTTGCACTTGGTGGGGGGAGGGGAACCCTATGAGGGTCCCTTGGCTCAGGTCTGGGAGATCCCTGTAGTTGGGATACCTTAGATAAGGAGGGTTGTGGGGGTCCCCTGTAATTCAGGGGAGGGGAGTGTGTGTGGGTCTCTTAGATTGGAGGGGGGTATATTCTTCTGTCCTGGGAAGAGAATTGAGTTTTGCGGGGTGATAAGCCCATACGTTGCCTTGAAACATGGGGGAGGGTGCTTGAGCCAGGGACTTCCAGTTGGGTTTTCCAAGGAACATCCAGTGGGGTGACATAAGTGGGGGTGAGGGGAACTTAGCAGCAGGGTCTGGGAACCTCCACTGAGTGCTGGTCTCTTCTCCCCCACCCCACCCCCCAAAAAGCCCCTGGATGGTGGAAAGTCTGGAGGGGGTGGGAGTTTGACTGGGGGAGCCCCTGCTGGAGGGGTGGGGGGGGGGCGCTGAGACAGAAGCCTGGAATTGTGGGAGGGGGAGCACAGCACTGTGATAGGGTAGCTGTACAGATAGGAAGAGGGGTTTCAAAGGCATGGCCATATTGGGGGGTCCTAGGGATAGGAACAGAGGCCAGTATCCCCTCCACCCACCCTCAAATTTCCCTTGCCCTTCTGCTGCCCATAGCAATAAGCCCCCCCCTTTCCCTTGGGGTGGGGGTGAAGATGCTGAGAAACATGTACATAGCAATATATCAGACTGTATATTTCTTGCAGGAGAATACGTGACCCCTTCATCTCTGCTCCCCTTGGAGGGGTGCACCCTCAGTCCCCCCATTTCTATAATGAGTGGGGTGACGTGGAGGAGGTTTGTATTAAATTATGTATGTGTATATATTATAAATACCTCTATTTTGTGTATAGGTGCTATACACACACATACATAGAGCTATATTCCAGAGCCAGAATAAACCATGGAGATCTCAGCCTGTGTCCATAGTCTTCCTTCCTAGCAGTTACGAAGGAGAAAGAGCATTGTCTACTTGTTCTGTGTTTGTGCAGCACCTGTCCCAATGGGGGCCTTGATCTTGCCTGGGAGTCTGAGCAGTGCCTGGCCCAATGGAGGACCTGCTTCAGGACTAGGTCTCCTAAGTACTACTTTCAGAGTAACAGCCGTGTTAGTCTGTATTTGCAAAAAGAAAAGGAGTACTTGTGACACCTTAGAGACTAACCAATTTATTTGAGCATGAGCTTTCGTGAGCTACAGCTCACTTCACCTCACAAAGTTAAACCCTGGATTTGTGCTGGAAATGGCCCACCTTGATTATCATACACATTGTAAGGAGAGTGATCACTTTACATAAGCTATTATCAGCAGGAGAGTGGGGTGGGGGGAGAGAAAACCTTTTGTAGTGATAATCACCCATTTTTTCATGGTTTGTGTGTATAAAAACATCTTTTGTATTTTCCACAGTATGCATCCGATGAAGTGAGCTGTAGCTCACGAAAGCTTATGCTCAAATAAATTGGTTAGTCTCTAAGGTGCCACAAGTACTCCTTTTTTTAAGTACTACTGCAATCGAAATAACTGTACACGAGGAAAGTGAGTACGGTGCAAGGTGTGGCAGGCCAGTGTTCGGATAGACCAAGGGCTAACTAGGGATGGGGACTGGATTAGAATAGAAGGGCACCAGCACAAGTGTGGTTGGGGGTAGCCAAGGGCTAGGATGGCAGAGTGCTGCAGGTTGTGATTGAGGGGCACAAGCAGGTGAGGGGGAACAGGTAATGGATGACACGCCCCATGCTAGGCTCCACCTCACCGGTTTATTTATACGCAAACCAAAGGAGCACCGAATGTCTTCTACTCCCTGTAGAACCCTCCCTCCCCCGCCACACCCTTAGGGACTCCCTCCCCCACCCCAACCTTCCCAGCTTGGCCATCCTGGCCCTTCACGTCTCCTCCTCGCTCAACAGCATGTTGGGGATGCCCTTGGTGATAGGGAACTCCCGGCCAGAATCAGGGCACTTCAGGATCCCCTCCATCACCTCCACCTATGCAGGGGAGGAAGAAACACAGGTCAGCTGCAGCCTAAAGACAGAGGGATGGGCTGTGCCCTGGCCCTGCCCCATAATGCTGTCAGGGAGGGATGGAACTTCCCCAGAGCACCAGCCCTCCCTTCTCGGTTTTATTTGTTTATTAGGGGTAGGGGTATTTTGCTGCAGTCACTCTTAGCAGCTGGGGAAAAGGCAGGATGAGCCACAGAAGCAAAAGGATCCTGTGAGCCCAGTGCCAGGGCATCTGCTGGACTCTCAGCCCCACAAGAGTGGATTCCAACTTGCAGCTAGAGCAAGGGGAGAATCCCCCACCATCAACACACTCTCACTGCTTGAGGGAGCCCCCGCAATGTCTACATTGGAACATGAGCAGCAACAGAGGTCCTCCACACTGGGGGATCCCCAATGTCTCTGTGGACTGATAAGTCCCTGGTGTCTTGTGGACCTGTGTGGATAAGGACCTGTGTTTGTAACATGGACCCCGTCATACAACCTCCGCCACAGGTTTGTGGTGCCTGGGAGATGGTGCCCAGCACCAGGCAAGGAGCTGGTGGGGGGTTGTGGACATAGATGGGGGGGTTTCTCACCTCCAGCAGCACGTGATGCACCTTCCTCAGGAAGTCCTCATTGTTCTCGTACTCAGGGGGCAGCTGGTGGGGCAGGTCCGACAGATGGCCCAGCTGTAGGGAGAGGGAGATGAATGTCACAATGCTTGAGCCCAGAAGAGAGACTTTGCTCTGATTGACCCAGACGCTCCCCAAAGCCACTTCCCTCTCCAATCCCCACGGTGTCAATCCACGTTGCCCATCTCCTGCCATGACAGCACTCTGGCCCTGTGCCTAGGGGCCCCAGCACCCAGGGTGAGCCCCTCCCCCTGCCAAACTCCACCCACCCATGCCCTGGACGCGGCCAGCCCCTCCCCCCATACTCACGCTCTCCGCAGCCTCCACCAGGGCCCCCCACTCCACCTTGGGGATCATCCGCGCCACGAACTCCTGGTTGAAATCCACGTTATTCACTTTCACCTCGGTGGCCTGCGGGGAGGGGGAGGGTCAGTCCGGCTAGGCACGGCGGGGGCGGGATCCCCATGGCGGGAGGAAATCAGCCCTACGACGCCCAGACCCAGCGCGGGGGCAGCCCAGGGGGCAGGGTTATGTGGCCTTCTGGTTGCGGGGGGGGGGCGGGGCGGGAATCGCTGTTACCTGGATACGGAGGGGGAAACCCCCCCCGGGCCGCACCCCCCCGCACATGCGAGGTCAGCATGTTGTGCGTCAGCAGCTTCATCCTCGCGCCGCTCCCGGTGTCACAGCCCACCTGCGGAAGCGGTGGGAAGCCAATACTCAGCGACTTCCGGTTCAATTTCACCCCCCCACACACACACACTATTTCCGGATGCAATGTGCCTACTCAAAGGCGGTTGACAGGGAAACACGGTCCCGAACCTGAGGGTTCCGGGGAGATCCGGAGACAGGGTGCCGGTGTCCGTTGCTCCCCTGGTGCCCCCGCCCCAATGAGGAGGAGAGGAGAATTAGACGCGAAACTAAGGAGTTGATACATGCCAATAGCAGGGAAATCACAAGCAGATTATATTTAAATTAAGAAATTAATATGTGCAAAAAGCAGGAGAAAAACACATTAATCACAACTTATATGTTAATTGTATGCAAATTCAGCGTGCAAACCGCTTGTAATGTCGCCCTGCCAATCAAAATCAAGCTGTATGTAAAGCTGTGTGCAAACCGGCCATGCCAATGAACCACCAATGATATGCAAATGTGATGCAAACCAACCTGTGGGTTGCGGCGCATGGGCGTTCCAGTCCACCCCAAGGTTGGTAGGTCCCCCAGGCCTTTTCCATGGCAACTGTCATTCAAGCGGTCTCCATGGTGACCGCGTGGCGGGGTGTGGCGGGGCTGGGGCTGGGGCTGGGGCTGTTGCGGGCGGGGCGCCCCCCCGGGCCTCCCAGCTCCGAGCCGAGAGGAACCCGGAGGCGCTTCGGTGTCCGAGCAGCTGCCATGGCGCCCGTCAAGGTGAGTCCGGGCGGGGCGGTGAGCGGGACCCCCCAGGGGCCCTCAACCATCCAACCTGCCCCGCCCCTAGCTGGGGACCCCCCCACACACACACTCAGCCCCAGCGAGCCCCGGCGCAGGGAGCTGGAGAGCCCGATCCCAGGGAGCCCCCTTAAATCAGCCCCCAGCTGGGCCCCGGGGCAGACAACAGGGGCCCCCGAATGGAGGCTCCTGGACAAGCCCCCCTCCAAAATCGGGGCCCCTAGCAGGGCTCCTCCTGGCAGCTCCCCTCTCCAGCTGGGGCCCTGGGCTAGAGAAGAGCCCCCGCCCCTTGGTTTAGCCCCCGATGCCTCCCCCCAACTGGGACCCTTGAAACCTGAGACCATGCCCCCGGTCCCTGAAGCTTGGAGGGTCACTACCCCCTCGTAGGGCCCCCCAGGGCTCTGCCTCACAAGGGAGGGAGTAAACTCAGAGGGGCGGGAGGATGGGGTTGGAACAAGGGAGGCACTGAGCTCCCAACTCCCTCCAAATCTAGAGGGGCAGGGAGAGGTTGGGAGCAGAAAGGGCTGATTTGGGGGGGTGAGTTTAAGGCAGGCTGGGGAAGGGTGAGCAGGGGTGGTGTTGAGAGTTGGAGGAGGAGTTAGGCTGTATAGGGGGGAGCTAGGTTATGGGGTGAGATGGGAGGCAGGAGATGGGGGTTGGGAGGTAGGTGGGGTCAGAGGGAGCTGGATTGTGGGGGACGGGAAACGGGGTAGAGGCTGGGGGTGTGAGCTGGGGATGCTGGGTTAGTGGTAAGGGAGTAGTGGGAGGCAGGGGTAGGATGCGGGGAAGATGGGGGTTGGTTGGGGTTGTGGGAGCTGGGTTGTGGGGGGAGGAGGAGCAGGCTGGGGAGGGAGGATGGTTGGTTGTGAAGGGGGGTACACAGCAGCCCAGAAAGTTGGGGCTGTGGGCATGGCGGGCAGGGAACTGGGGGAGGTGTCCAACTCATGGGCTTGAGTAATCAGTTTGGAAACTCCAAGGTAGGAGTGCTGAATCACTGAGTCTCTCTCCTATGGAGCTCCCCTCACAGATTGCAGTTACAACACCCGCCCCAGACACAATTGAGGGGGGCACACAGGGCTCTCCTGCTCCCCAGCTATGGAGAGGCTCATCTCAGGCTTTATGCATCAGCTGGAGGCTTGTCTTTGCCTGCTGGGGATGGGGGGTTTCAAGGCAGGAAGTTGGCTAGGTGACTGGGAAGGGAGACCCCCCCCTCATTAGTCAGCTGCTTGAGGCCCCCATCTGCATCTGTTCTGGTCATGCCCTGTTGGCACTGGGGCAGGGGTGGGGGGGTTGTAGCTGGGGCAAGAGGAACCAGCTCCCAGGTGGAATTCCAGAGCTGAGGTAGCCCCTCCCCCTGCGTTGGGGGGGTGGGGTGGGACAGAGGCCCTGTGGGGGTCTGGCATAGACTTGACCTGGGCAAGGGGACTTGGCTAGGCCTCCCCCAGCTCTCACCCCCTGTACCCACAGGTCGGAGACAAGCTGCCCAGTGTGGAGGTGTACGAGGGGGACCCCGGCACCAAGGTGGATGTGGCCGCACTCTTCAAGGGCAAGAAAGGGATTCTCTTCGGGGTGCCTGGTGCCTTCACCCCTGGCTGCTCCAAGGTGAGGCATGGAGACCTCCTCCCCTCCGCAGTGCGTCCTTCCTCTCCCCCCACTACCCTACCCATTTTAGAACACACACACCAACTCCAGAGCATCCCCCCCAACTTTGCAACCCCTATCCTAGAGCACCCTCCCTCATTCTAGAATGGCCCCTCACATGCCCTGTTCCCTGAAACCCCCCATCCCAGAGTTCACTCACTCCCCTCCTCAGAGTATCCCCCACCCCACCCAGCTCCCCAGAATTCATCCACCAGAGCATCCCTTCCACCATCCGATCCCTGGGGCAAGGGAGCCACAGTGTGGACTGGAAAAGGGACACATTTGTGAGCTCTGTGTGTCCTTGCATGCCGGGGCTGCCCAGCTCCCTCCTTGGATCCCTGGGCTGGTGTCTGATGCTCCCCCTCCCCCACCCAGCATGTTAAGGAACTAATGCTCTTCCTACCCCCCTCAGACCCACTTGCCAGGCTATGTGGAGCAGGCGGGGGCGCTGAAGGCCAAGGGCGTGGAGCTGATCGCCTGCCTGGCTGTGAACGATGTCTTCGTCATGAGCGAGTGGGGCAAGGCCCATGGGGCCCAGGGCAAGGTGAGCCAGGGAGAGAGCGGGGCAAGGCCCCTGGGGCCCAGGGCAAGGGGAGTGAAGGGAGGGTAAGGCGGGGGAGTGTGTGTGTGTGTGGAGGGAGGGGGGTCGAGCTATTGCACCCAGGGTGAGGGGGCCACACAGCCCAGGGGAATGTGGAGAATCCCAGGGACCATAGGAAGGGGAATGCAGAAGGTGGGACTAGGGGACCCAGGGCAGGGGGAGTGAGCGGGGGTCGAGGCCCAGGGCAGTGTCCTTATAGGGGGTTTATGGTGCTGAGTCTTAGAGAAAGGGGAGGAGTCTTCTCTCCTCAACTCAGCAGCACCCTAACCCCAAGGCTGCAGGAGCCCTGCCCCCACCCCTGCAGGGAGTGGGTGACTTCCAGGCAGCAGTGAGCACTTCCCTTCCTCGTAGGAGCTGTTGGTTATGCAAGGGGGCATCTGTAGGTTGTGTAACTTCAGGAGTGGGTGTGGCCCTTGCCACTCCTACCCTGCTGCCACCTCACAGGTGCCTCGTCACTGGTTCCCTAACCCTTTCCCCCTCCCCCCTCAGGTGTGGATGCTGGCTGACCCCACCGGAGCCTTCGGAAAGGTAACGCCCCACCCCCCCAACCCATGCCCAGCTGGGGGTATCCTCCTCGTGGATCAGGATCAGTCCCAGTCTCTACCTACCCACATGTCTGTGTATCAGTCCTTGGCCCTTCCCCTCCTAACCAGCTCGACAGCCCAGAATCAGGGCCCCCACTCTCTGGCCAGTCCTCTTTCCCACCCCACCATGTGCCTGTCGCCTCCTCTGCTCCTCCCCTACCCGCTGTGTCAGATCCAGCTCTGGGACAGTGGGGGATGGGGCAGTGGAACCCCATCCCCTATTAGAGGCATCCAGGATTCTGTCCCTCCAGTGCCACCTCCCTGACACCGACAACAGGGGCTGGGTTGGGGTCAAAGGGCATCTGAGGACCAGGCAGCTCCAGAGGTGAAGGGTCTTTTGTGGAGGGCAGTTCCTCGGCTGTGTCATCTGCCTTGCGGTGGGACTCTGTCTGACCCCCCCCCCTTGCTTTCCCTTTCTCCCCTAGGCGACGGAGCTGCTGCTGGACAAGGAGCCCCTGCGTGACCTCTTTGGGACCAACCGCTGCAAAAGGTAAAGCAGTGGGCTCCCTACCCCCCAGCAGCCTCTGGGGATACCCCCGCGGGGGAGAGCTGGGGTTCCCTGTCTGTACAGGCGAGGGATAGGCATGGGGATGAGTGTTAGGAGCTCAGAGGGGAGAGGATGCACCCCTGCAGCTACAACTATGGGCCTCTGGGGTATCCCCTTTGCTGGGGTGGGGAAGGAAATGAAGTCCTCCTCTCCATCTCCATGGGAAAACCTGGGAGAGGTAAAGCCCCCCTGGCTATATCCCCACATTGATACCCCCAACCCTCCCTTCTCCATGATGGGGGCAGGGGCCACTAGGAGATGTGGGAGGGAGCCCTGGCTCTGTCCCCACACTGAATCCCCAATCTCCCTCCTGGGTTCTCCATAGTGGTGGACGATAGGGTGGGAAGTGGGGAGTCCTGGAGGGATGAAAGGGGAACCCCTGGAGGGCAGGGGAGGGGGAGCCCCCAATGTGTTCTCACCCTGACCCCTCCCAGGTTTTCTGTGGTGGAGGCTGGCACGGCGGGAGGGGAGCCTGGCACTCACACCCCCATCTATCTCAGGTTCTCCATGGTGCTGGAGGATGGCGTGGTGAAGGCTCTCAACGTGGAGGAGGATGGAACAGGGCTGACCTGCAGTCTGGCCAACCACATTCTGTCTCAGCTCTGAGCACCAGCATGCCAGGGTCCCTCCTGCTGCTGCTTCCCCCTGCCCCCCCCTCGTCCCCCGCCCGCCCTAGCATGAGGAGCGGGGCAGCGCAGCATCCTTTCCCAGCATGATATGATAGTCTCCCTCCTGCGGGAGGTGGGGCTGTGCTCTTGCTGCTACTCCTGCTGTCATGGGTTTGGCCTCTAGGGGGCACTCGTGCCCTGGTGGTGGTGTACTGCCCCACCATGCTGTGTATCAACCTGGAATAAATGGCTCTTGCCAGCCCTGCCTCTGTGTCTCTGCTGGGGGTGTGGGGGAGGGG